GGGTCGGTTGTGCTGATGCTACACTCTGTGCATCTTTTTTCACAGATCCAGGAGCAGCTTTTGGGCCTCAGCAGTAGGATTTGATCGGGAGCTGACTTCAGTCCAGGGACTTTCGAGGTAGCCTAGCTGACGTCCGCAGGCCGGAGTCCCTTCTATGTTATTAGTTTGTTTTCCTTGTACCGGGACAAACATTGATGTACTTCTATTCGGACTTGTTTTTAGCACTCTTTAGTAGTTCGTGAGTTAGTGACACCGGATCTGGGTAGAGTTGTATTTAAACTTCCGTATTTGGTTTTCAGTTATCTATGTTTTTAAGACTTCCGCTTTTATTTAAATGACTCGTTTTATTTATATCGTTGTGATGTTATCAGAAAATGTTTTAATACTTGGCTTGCCTAGCTCCGACAGTAGGCGCCATCACGACTCCCGATGGTGGGAAATCCGGGTCGTGACAGCCTTAGAGAGATGATTGGAACTATTTTAGAGTAAGAACGACCCATCGGAGCTAAGTACGCACGAAGACGAGGAAAAAAATCAAGAAACGGAAGACCTGGGCTAGCGCGCCCAGGTGCGCGCCCGCGCTAATATTAGCGCGCCCAAGAAAGAATGTTGGCCAACTAGCGCGGTCAGATGCGCGCCCAGGTGCGCGACCGCGCTAGTCCAAATTTCGGGAAGGTTTATTCAGGGGTAAAATTGAAAATCTGGAGGAAACCCCACTTAACCTATATAAAGTCAAGCTCGCCCAAGGAGTAATTATCAATACACTTATACTTAGTGCATAGTATAGCGTAAGTATATATATTATATATATAAGCTACATTCGATATAATATTACCTAATACACTTATAATTAGTGCATAGTATAGCGTAAGTATATATATTATATATATAAGCTACATTCGATATAATATTACCTAATACACTTATAATTAGTGCATAGTGTATCGTAAGTATATATATTATATATATAAGCTATATTCGATATAATATTATCTACGTAAGTATATATATTATATATATAAGCTACATTCGATATAATATTACCTAATACACTTATAATTAGTGCATAGTATAGCGTAAGTATATATATTATATATATATATAAGCTATATTCGATATAACATTACCTAATACACTTATACTTAGTGCATAGTATAGCGTAAGTGTGTATATATATATATATATATATATATATATATATATATATATATATATACACACACGCACGCTTCGTAGTACTATTCATCCTTGTATTACAAAAGTGTTAACGACACATTTATATTATTTATTTAGTAAATACAAAAGTGATTTTTAATTTTGACCAATGTTGACCAAAATAGCGACCAACTTTGGTCGCTAAATATACATAATTTTAAATTAACGACCCAAGTTGGACGCTAAATTTAAATCAGATTTATTTATCTTTCATATAATATTTAAAATATTAATATTATTGTTAAATGTTAGAACTGGGTCCCAGGTTAGCGACCAAAGTTGGTCTATATTCTACTGAGCGACCAACATTGGTCGCTAAAGTTGAATTATATTTATTTATATTTTATAATTTTTTTTATTAAAATTTTATAACTGGGTCCCAAATTAGCGACCAAAGTTGGTCTCAATCTGTTTACTCTTTATGTAGCGACCAACTTTGGTCGCTAATTTTAAATTTTATTTATTTGTATTTTATAATTTTTTTTAAAATAATATT